TATGAAGTCTTTTACTGCGTTTGCATGTGTGAAAGCGTGTCTGTAGCTTTTCAAGAACAATATTTAACATCAACAACAATACCACTGCACATTTTTACAAAATGTTTACCATAAATAATGCAATGTAAGTAAGATTTTCTAGATGTATTGCACAGTAATGTATAGAAATATATTTAGTAGTATGGTACACAAAATATTATTTATAAATGAGAGGTAATGTTTAACAACAGGCGGATTTTTTGATTTTTTTTTTTTTTCACACAGTAAAATCTGGATTGCGCAAGCTGTTAAAGGTCAAACTTAAAAAAAAACAAAAAAACTTAAATCGCTCTCAACTCTCAAAAACCAGATGTGCTACAAAAAAGTATTTTCATTCACATATTTTAAATTGTCAAAAATACATTTTGGGACACATAAAGCCATCTCTGATTAAAATTTGCTGTTGACCAGTGTAAATAAACTGCTCTTGCTTAACGCTACCATCGGGCCTAAGATCAGGAGTGCTCACTCAATACTGTGACAAAACAACAACAAAATCTGTATGAACACAACGTAAATGAGGACAGTTAAGCAATGCTATGCCGTGGATGGTGAAAGTGAGGTAGCTGACGTTTCAACAGTGGGGCACCAACATCTGCTAAGCCCCTGATATGATGTGACTTTTTTTTTCTCCATTATGGCAACATTATATAACTTGCATGCAAAATGCAAATTGTGGACATAAAATATTAATTTATTGCTAAGAAATAGATTTAAAGTGCGCACAAAATACAAATTGGGGGTTTAATACTAATCCTAGGAATAATTGTCTGGGGAAGCAAATGCCACGCGCCGTCGCGAGAAACTGCAATACCTGATGTCCTTATGGTAGGTTTCTTTTGTGAGTCTGTTGTTGTCATCAGCCGGCATTGCCAGGTTTTTCAGTCAGTCTTTTAGCTTATTCACAGACTAAAGTAAAATTCAATCATACTATCCCGATTGGCTGCATTTAGCCCTGGCCTCTGCCGCCACACCGGTTCTAGAAGTGTTCCCATGTTGTTGACCTAACTTCTACCGCCATTTCATGGCCCAAAAGTAGTAGTATTTCGTGGATAATAAATGAGCATTTTGCATGCACGCTCTATGAATATTGTGGCAACAATTTTTTTTTTTTAATCACTGTTTCATGTCTATGGCTTCAACATCTCCTGTGCCTGTTCTAATACAGTTATGTAAGTTAGCAACAAGCAGAGCATACGATGAGTGTCAGGTAAATTATGTTTCAGTAAGGTGTTTCAATCGCTTGTTAACGCAATGCGTTAACATCTTGAATTTTAAGTAACTGCGCCTCCAAAGCTCTCTGTACGGACGGCTGGCCCTGTTGTGATTCATTCCTAATTTTTTTTATTCCATCTGCTGAAGTAATGTATCCTTTATGGACTGATTTGAATAGAGAAGCATAAACACATTTTTGTCATGCAGCTGCCTGTTCTGAACTGATGAAACAGAATCTCAGTACATACAACACAAGCTCAGGTAAACATGAAGGTAACAACACCAGAAGTCAACCGTGAGTGACCCTGGCCAGTTTTAAAATGAACACCCAATGGTGTTGAATTAACACCAGCAGATTTGCAGGTTGGTAAACTTTTCAAGTGAGTTGCATCTTCATTTTTTTCAGAAATGCAAGTAGTACAATCCTATCCTTTTTTTGGGAAAAAAACCCAAAACAAAACATAATAATACTGTATTTACAAATCATGCATATGTATAATTTATTATTAAAAACTACTTTGGTTGAAGAGCGTCTTCAGGTCAGCTGTAATCTGACAACGTATGTATACTGTGCATATCACATGTTATGCCATAATTTTGGCCACCAGAGGGCGATCACGTTATTGTTGCTTAAAGCACTTAGCACTGTAGTTATAGATAGGTAATACACTCCAACGTTACATTGAGAGATATAGAAATGCAAAAACTTCAGACCTGTATTTATGGACTAAGAGTGTGTGTGTGTGTGTGTACAGTATGTACATATGCATGCATGTAATGGACATTACATACATTTTATGTATGTAGTACAATCTGAAAAAATAAATAAATTTGAAAGACAAATGCCGCTTTTTCATTGTGTCACAACAGAGTTATTAAAAAAATAACTCATAAAACGTGAAAAATGATGGTATCAGGTTCAACAAGATCAAATAGCATCAGAGGTGTCTTCAAACTTCTAATCAGTCAGTCGGCCTATTTAGAGGGTGACAAGTAGTCACTATGCAGTAGGGTGACTTGGTGTATACCACACTTGGACTAGAGAAAGCTAAGGAAAGAGTTGTCTCAGTAGATTTGAAAGACAACTATAGAAGCAGGTTAAAGCTATAAGAACATCTCCAAGGTGCTTGATGTTCCTGTAACTGCAATTGCACATAATCAGAAAGCAGCTAACCTGCCTGGACGAGGCCGCAATAGGAGGAGGAGACATATGATAGGAATGGAAACAAAACAGATCAGAACAACC